GTCCGACCTTGGTGATTCCGAAGACGACTTTATCCAAAACTTTTCCGAGTCCGTCTTTTGCAACAAGCGGATGAAGTTCGAAGATGACTCTGAGAATGAGCAGCTCCCCAGCCCACCCATGTCCACATCGTCCTCCCGACAAGGCTCCGTCGCCCCGACAAAGGTTCCGAAGCGGAAGACCCCAAAGATCAAGAAGGAGCAGACACCCGAAGAGATGTCCGAAGAACAGAGACTGCGAAGCTTCAAGTTCGGTTCTACCGATTCCAGCTGCGTTTCCTCGCCGGTCTCGCCGTCCGAGAAGCCCATGGTTGGACACCCAATCAGCCCCCACGTCATCCGCCGGGGCCGCAAGCAGTCTTTGACTGAGGATCCCTCCAAGACTTTTGTCTGCCACCTCTGCACTCGCCGATTCCGACGACAGGAACACCTGAAGAGACACTTCCGCTCCCTTCACACTGAAGACAAGCCCTTCTCCTGTGGCGAGTGTGGCAAGCGATTCTCCCGAAGCGACAACCTCACCCAGCACAGCCGCATCCACGGCACCGGTGCTGTCGTCCTTGGTGTTTTGACTGAGGGTGAAGTCCCAGTCCTTGGCTCGCAGTTCAACCCTATGGAAGAGCTCGAGCCGACGCCCTCGCCTCAGCCGCTTGGTATCATTGTCGTCGACTCGATGACTGCTGCCTCTGGCGACATCAAGGACAAGTCTTCGGAAGACAAGAAGTCTCGCAAGAAGAGAAAGAGGTCTGATGAGTAAACTGCTTTATCGCTCGTGCTATTTTACGATTCTCACGACCAAAATAAAATATGCGCACCATATCACGACCTAACATGACAGCTCATCTTTCAAGACCACAAACAAAATTTGCCTCTTTAGCCTTTTCTGAGATTTCTTCATCTTTGGGTGGTGTCTGACTTTAGCTTTCAACCGGAGTACAAAGACTGCTTTTTTCACATCGATATATCGTTTCTCTACCACACGGCGTTGCTGCTGCTAATCCAGTAATTGGAGTATTTGGGAATGGAAAATTTGCCTTAACCTTTTTTTCTTTCTTTTGCATATTTTTTGAAGAGACCATTTTACTTCACCTTTCTGCGCTTCTCACTTTTTATCCATTATTGGTTTCGTTTTACAGTTTCTTCTACATTCTATATTTTCTCAACTTCATGTGAATATTTGTTTTTGTACATTCGATTCATTGTGCAGGAGCGCAGTCTCTTCCATTCCATTCTCGAGCCCCAGCTATACCTGGCTGACGGGACATTTTTGAACTACTGAATATTCTTTCCGCTTCTATGACGTTCATCCATTCTCTTCATGTCATCATTTACCCTGTTCTTTCCATCTTGAATTCCGATTCATCTTTGGTTCTATTCAAACAAAAACAGACTTTACTTAGTAGCTTTAGTCTTTCTTTTTACATTTTCGATCTCGATCTATCAATCTTTAGTGTAGCCAAATGGATTAATTACTCAAACTCTACCTCGTCAAAAACGCAGTGAATCGTGTTAGAATAACAATCAGCTCTGAGTGTTTGCGTGTTTGCATGCCTGTGCGCGAGCGAGCTGTGGTTGAGAAGCTGAAGCAACGTTAGGAAACCCCGTGCCGTGGCGAGGGAAATTAGCCTTGCGAATAAGCCCGCGCGCGACTCGATCGCTTGCCTCGCGATCGCAGTCAACTTGCGAGATGGTAAGCTAGCTCTCGGATCGCAGAGCTTCGAATCAATCACACAGACCCTTCCGTCCGTTCCCCCGCCTTCGCCCAACTTGCCGCCAGCTGGCCAATCAAACATACCAACATGCATACGAGCCAACTTTCGGATATGTATGCAGTTATCTCACTGTGCCAACTTTTGCATGCCAGCGCCCTTAGCGAGACCTGGCTCGAGTCTTGGCCGGACGTCCATCCATCCACACGACCAAGATGCAACAGCGAATCGGCAAGCGGCGACAAGCTTCCAAATACCCACTCTATCCATGTGAGTGCACTTTGTCTGATGCACGGTAATGGACTGTTGGTTGGCTCTCTTTGCTTGGCTGACCTTACGGAATATTGACTTCGCTGTTGCCGTTTATAGGACACTTACGGAAGCTTAGTGTTCTAGTCAATGTTGGACACGGAACGTTACGTTTACAAACGAGCATGCTATACGAGACGAGACAGCCTGGTTTGTCATGTCACGTCGGGCTGAGCGAGCGAACCTTAGCTCACCTGTATTCGGATGAAGTTTAATGCGGTCACGCAGGCTCGTATAGTACGAATCATCGATTCCATTCGCCACTGGCGCAGGCACCAGGCGGTACATGCCTGCAGTCATCTAGCCTGGTAAACCTGGGTATGGACCAACGTTACGTTCCGTTTATATATGCGAACGCGAACAAAGGTCGGAAAACGGTTAGGAGCAAAAGGTTCTAGGCTGCACCTGGAAACTGGAATATGTCTGTGAAGACAGAAAATATTACTGCATATGTGCAATGGGGCCGGCCCAACCTGCAGGTCTGAAACCATCGAAGCTATTGAGCAGGGGTGCGATGGTCGCGCAGTGCCGAGCTGAGCCCGTTCAGTGCGATGCGATGCGATGCTCACATCCTATTCGACGGCCCGATGGCCATGTCGCTTGCGGGTCCTGAGGGGAACATCGGTGGCGGCCGCGCATTATCATGTCATGGTAACTGGCATGATGCGTTATCAGCCCGCTCGTTGCGTCGAGCTGCGCGATAGCCCATATGGAGTTTCTTGGCGGAAACACTCGTGCGTTCCCTTTGAATTTTGTTCGTTGGATTTGGTGATGATTTTTCTGATTAATTTTACCCGTTTGGGAACTAGTCTGACTAGAGGTTTTACTTCACTTTGGTCGCCGAAAACCCCACACGCTCCTTCTCACGACCTGGGCCTGTTGTTCCCACCCACGGTATCGGCATGGCCCCCACCGCACTGCGTCGTATGCCATGCCCAGACAAGTACTTCGTACCATCCTTCCTTCCCATCCGTCTGCCTCACGTTTGCCGTAAAGTTAAAGTAGCTCAGGGCCAGTCGAGTTACACCAAGAAGCAAATAAAACGGGTCCAGTCAGATGAATCTCAGGATACCCACACCACAGCTCTGAACTCGATGGCCATTGTCGTGTTCCATCCGCCTGCCTTTTTCTCTCACATTATCCGCGGCGGCCTCGCGCAAGATCGAAGAGGGCGGTAAAACAGCGATCACGGTTCAAGCGATAGTGTCCACCACCACGACAGATGACATGACAGGATGCCAACCGAAAGAGGTCAATCGGATGCGAGCGATGGTAGGTCGATGCACGACGCCAGCCGTCTTTGCAGCGTGCAGCGATGACCAGATGTCATTGAGATAGCGCAGGGGGATGCAGTGCGCATCTCTCTCTCATCGTCGATATGGATGTCTGTCTGATATGAGACGGCTGTGACGGCTGGCCGTCTCATTGGTTTTCGATTGACTTTCCCTGTTGGCGGTATCGAATCAGATGGAATCTCGCGAGGCCCGCTTTTCCTTTTTTCCTGTCGGTATTTCCCCCGTGCATTATTTGATTTGATATCGATATAATATCGCGACTCGAAGGGCGTTCCAACAAGGCCAATGCAGCCGGAATCACAGACATCAAACCTGATCACACTGCATACAGGTGGGCTGGTTGGCTGGCGATCCCGAGTAACATTACAGTCCCGGTGACATGACAGTGATGGTGACAGGCGCAGGCAGCCAGACTAACTCAGAGCGAGACCCGGGCCGGGCTCGCACACAATTTTCTTTATGTCGCGTCTTGGACTGCCTCCCCACCCATCAAATCACCGTGGCCGCCACCTCTCTTGAGAGATCCACTTCCCGGCGTCCCATCCGACAGGAAACCAGCCAGTTTCAGCACCACACCACGGCCGTGTGCTATAGTATATCAAGGGAAAGCTATACTATAGGTAATAGCACAGCTGCAATATATACGATGCAAAATGAAGTTCCAATATCCAACGTCCCCACAACACAGTAATGGACGAGTTTTTCTTTCTGTTTTAAATGCCTGGGGTGCATTAGCAGGATTAGCTTTCGTTAGTTCCCCCCACTCGGTACATCTTTAAGTGACCTTCGCAATACTTTCGCTGGTGCTTATATGCTGCTGTGAGTAAGTAGTTACTTGTATTGCAAGGTTAGTGATTAACTGTACGAAGTACCGGTAATATTGGGATGTGAGTTTAGTATTGCCCCACTGGTCCCAAACTTTCGAATCGAGACTGCTACCGCTGCTGTTCAGCTCTGGCAGACCCGGCCTTGCCCCCAGTGGCTTTGCTGACTTTGGGGCGCCTCGTTTTGGCCCAAAGATAGGATTCTCAGGCCGGGAACGACTAGTTCGAAATTGACAAGGGTAGATTTATGCATAATATATCGCATCGAGATCATGAGGAACGTTTCAGTATATAAGCAAATATATACACTGCTAGCCCGGCCGTGTCTTACTTATAGACTATACGATCGAGTTTGTATAAGGTGATATACAAGAGGCAATGCACATCTATAGACGATAGCAATATGCAAATATCAGGTGATACATGCTGATGACAGGCAGCCGCCCTCCTGGGCAGTATGCATGGGGATCTCTATAGGAATTTGGCCATTTGTGAAAACTATGTGCTCTATCCACATGCATATGCAAATTTCGCATTTCAAAGCGACCGATGACCTCGTGCACATAACTTTGCTTCTTGTATCGCAGAAACTTGCCAATATCATCGACGACAACAGTGTTCATTCCCTAATGCCACGCCAAGATGGAAAGTTGGTGCAGCGGAAATTTGATATGGCGCAAAGTTGTACGGAGCTCGCGGAACATCAAATAAAAATCAAATGTAAAAACATCCCTCCGAATCCTCCGCTAAGCGCTACATAAATTGGCGGGCACTTATTCGAGTTGTGCGGAGTGACGATCGCGAAGGCGGAAAAAAAGTTAGTCGAGAACCAACAAAAAAAAACCCAAAAAAGAAGGAGACTGTCATGGAGAAATGGGGTCTCGAACCCCAGACCTTCTGCACTTCGAACTGCTGGAAGGGCAATGCAAAGCAGACGCGCTACCGCTGCGCCATTTCCCCGATGAAGTCGAAAGACACGTTCCAAAAATTCTACGTAAGCCTTTACACGTCAGCCGTGACCTATAATTCTTCATGCTGTGTTACCTTGTAGACATCGACATCCTCCAGATGTCACAACACACTTGTACAATTGTTTTGTGACACCAAGCCAAACAACCATCATCTGATTCGTATAACTACTACTGGATGGACACCCTGGCATTCCCACGATTCATTCTGCCTTCAGCTCATGACAAGATGCAATGCAGTGCTGTCTTTCTCCAGACAATACCTGCACCATTGCGTTGCAATTGTGGGGACGACCGAGACCCCAACACAGATCGTTTCAGCCAGAAAAATCGGAATTCCGAGCTCTACAACTGGATAAATCCCGCCTCTGTTCAAGATCCCATATCACGGACGGACCCTGAGCCTCGATCGTTCGGACCCCCGCGAGCCAACTCCAGCTGCGAGGCAAAAAAAAAATCCCGTGCTCAAAATTTGCTGCTTAGCAAAACCATGTGAATGGATACAATAAATGTGTGACAAGGTCGCTGAGATTAACATTGGTGCGGGCTGGCGTCCTGCAGCTTCAGAAGATGTGAAATCGCTTAGCCGAGACCAAATGGGTGGAGGCGAACGGGCAGCTAGCTCACTTAACTGACATTAGCCTAGCTTCGAATCGACGCGGCGGCGCAGGGGTAAAGCCGGATTCAGCGTGCGCTTGGATCCACCGGAACCTCTCCCCTTCATCCGGGCTGCTGGGTTCATGGGGGTTGCTGGGGCGCTTCTGTGGCTTGGGGAGGGCGATATTATTGACACGCCGTTTTTTTTTTGTAACTAACAGTTGATTGACAGTCATAAAGAATATCCACTTTATCCGCTAACCGGTCCTTAGGGTCCATTGCTTTGTCTTGAGGCCCGCCCGTGAAGCAGGTTCTGGGACCATGATCCATGTCTGTTATAAGTGTATTTTATATTCTATACTTTATAGAGCGAGAAAAGACTGTTGGTCACTAAGCTAAAGATCCTTTTCAAGAGTAGTCGATACAATTTAGCGAGAAAAATTCTTTGATTGTGGCGGTTGTTCTTATAATAGACATTTTGATTGGCCTTCTCGAGGTTGAACTAGACTTCATTGAAATATATTAGATAATGGAGCAACGTCGGCGTCGATGTTCTCGACTTGTCCATGGGTTCCGTTTCAGATGTGATAGTGCGAATATACTTTCATATCCTGAAGCCGTTAAGCTGCCGATATTGCAAAGAGCAACAATGAAATTCCTGGGCAAATTTAAGAGGTTGTTCCCTGTAATCTGCCTACTAAGTGTTATACTAAGTATTCTCGATGCATCGAACCAGGAGTATCAAACAGCCTCTCCCCGGTCATCGGCCCGCGTGCTCTGGGAACTTCTAAAAGTCGACGTTCTTACGTGTACCACCCAGGGATCCTGAGAGAGAGTATTCAGGCGGGATCCCTCCAATTGACTATCGCTAGTCAACCGTTTCTATAACATCGGTCTTATATTGTACCTTACAATTAACGTTCCGTCCGCATCGCTGCGGTCGTGCCGAGCGATCCTGATTCTACCAAAGACTTAGCCTATCGTAAAAATTATACTAAGTACTTCGCCAGCCCGAAGGAACAAAAAGAACTTCCAGAGAGCTCTAGCGCTAGCGAAGGCTATTCTTTCCCGAGCCCTCCGTGCCGTGGAAAGATTTTCTCATTTTCGCGGGGGGGCTTCAGCAAGGCTTAAACCCGCACAAATCGGCTGGAAGTCTAGATTTGCGGCGCATTGGCACGGCTGATCAGCAATGCGGAATCCTTGCCTCTCTGTGCCGCCCTCAAGGGGACGGGATGCACGGAAGCGCGCTGATTGGTGAAGCCGCTGAGCCGCGGTTCGTGCGCGCCCTGCTCAAAGTTACTAAAGCGGTTGCATGCATGCATCGGCTTTGAATTCAAGGACCGGATCGCAGTTGGGAAATTTCGCGAATTCGATGTCCTATGAGCTTCAAAGGATTTTCAACGTGCATATTCCGGAGACGCTTTGCACCTCGATTTGGAGATTTGAATCCTGCGTACGTCAGAGCGGAGAACGGATCCAAGCCCCGACGGCACGGATCTTGGCTTTAATTCCGGTGGGATGGGATTCCAATATGGCATGTATGTACGGGGTACCGGTACATACTTTTGTGCGTGCCGTGGTTTCGGAGTTTGCATTCTGAAAATGTGGTAAAGAAATTGGCCCAGTCTCGAATCGAGCTCATCATCGGAGTTTGCGTTGGAGGGCTGGTGGTGTTGCATTTTTCTTTTACAACGCGGTTTTGCTGCTCCGTAGTTTTCATTCGTTCGCGTTGCATATTACGGGACTGGATATCGAATTTGAACTGCATATATCAAGTTGTCACAAGTTATACACAACGAGCACTGCGTCTCGTGTTTGGTGCCGTCACTCTGTCATTCTAGACTATGTTTGATGAGTGATCTGGAGTTTGAAAGTATCTCTCTTATTTCATGACGACAGCCTGTTAAGGATATTTTCTGACTACTCACGCAAGATGGACCTAGGATATGTCCTTCGACATCCAGGTAGACAGCTGAAGCGTTCTCGGGCAAATCTCAATACATGTTATTAGTATATATGTGTGCGCGACGTGCATGGTTTCGCAAGATCACCATACCGCACGAAAGCGGTATAACTATGTCAGAAAAGCCATGATTCAAAGCACAAATGTTTTTGTCTAGTATACTAGGTGCAAATGCAACGTCCACAATTACGACGGATGCTTTAAGCTAGCGAATCGAACTCAAAGGCCTAATCGACGACACCGATATAGACAGTTACCTGGATGCTCTGCATTTAGGCGTGCTTGCTATGCACATACCCCCCTCGAGATATATATTTTCGAATTTCGAGGCCTGCATATCTGAGTACATCGATACTCTATGGTATATGACAATTAGCGGTTATTGGTGTATAAAACAGCGGGATATCTTGCATGAAAGAATATCAATAGCTCCACCGTAATTGGTGATGGCTTGTGTGGTATTCAAAAGCTTTGCATATGTAGGATACCAAACGGCTCAGTCTGGCGGTGTAGAATCCTCCGCCTATCACATCCGTGAGCCATGTGTTTAGAGTGCTTGCATCTTCATGAGGACGTTGCGTCTTCGGGGTTCAAAACCTACGCTCGATACTTGAGAGCTCCACGCAGTTTGTGATGCGGCCATAGATAATAATCATCGCAAGACTGTCGTGATGTAAATACTCAAAAAACTTTGGGGCATCCTTCCATCATCACCATCACTATTGTCGTTGCCAACTTCGTCATTTCTAACCTTCGTCCTGGAACAAAGACAGAACCACTTACATCTGTGCGAATCTACTGGAGGGATCGAGAAAGGCTAACGGGGCTCCGTCTCTTCAACTAGGGGCCTTCTCGATCGGAAGATGATCAGCGGAACCCGTGGAGAGAATCTATTAGAATCCCGACAAGATGCATCCTGACCAACAACGATCGCGAGAATTGCTCACGCCAGAAGATGTGAGACTTGCTATCGAAGCTACCAGGAGGCTTGAATATGCCATCAGTGACGAGAACATCGCTCGAAGAAACGGTCTTGCTAGTCCTTCCGGGTTCGACTCCCGCCACGTTATGAGCATGCCCAGGCTTCCTTCGAGGCACAGCTCGAGCGATGCAGGAGCCTTTTTCGCCGGAGGACCAGCTGCAACCGATCACACTGCCCAGCAAGGACGGCCAGCGATGCGCATGGGTGGTATTCTCGGACAAAGACCTTTGAGGGCGTCAGATCCGGTTCTAGGATCGAGAGTAGGCCCATCTCACCGCAACAATGGTCAACGAGGCATTGGAACTGCCTATCAGCAAGGGAGCTCATATCCTGGGGCTCAGGCTAGCGGACAAAGTCAATACGGTGGAAATGGGGTTGTCGGGGGAGCCGGAGTCTTGCAGGTTCTGGCTGATCGTGGGATGCTGTTCGCCGATGTTGCTCAGGCGGCAGTGCCTGGTGGCTCCCACGCCGACAGCAGCGCGCGGTGGTCTCAGCTGCCACCCCGATACATGCCAGAGCCAACACTGTCCTTCCAAGATCATCAAGCTCCCCTCACCACCCATCAAACCACTGCTGTTACCACCCCGTTCTTCAACTACCGGCACCCAGGCCAACAGGCCATGGGCATTGTGCAAACCTACGGCCTGTCCCGAACGGCTGGCACTGGTCCTGATCAGAACGAAGAGCCGCACGCCCTGACTGACTCTGGCTCTGAGTCCGACTTTGAGTCCGACTCTGAGTCTTGCGATTCTCTCATGGACGACACGCCAATGATTCCTGTCGATGTTGAAGAAGCATCTCAACTTCCGGTGGGGGAACTTCAGGGAAACATGCCTTCGACGACTGATGAAGCAGGCAGCCAGGCTCCAAGAGAGGAACATGCGCCGCAAGCCGCCGATAATTCTCTCCGTTCCGATTCTCTGGTTTCTGATGAGGCTGACTTGCTATCAAAGACTGCCGAACTATCTTTGACGACAAATACTGCTGTCACAGCCGGGAAACCAGAATCCTCTCTAGCCGCGGCATCCCCGAAGGCCAAAGATGCTACGGATAGCCTGATCGCTAAGTTGATGATTCAAGACTCACCGCCCGGTTCGCAGAATTATACCAAGGGAAACACCCAGCCTGCTCAGCTTCTCCGGACCAATCATGATCTTCCTCGTCGGCCCGAACCTTCATTGGTGGATTCAAATACTTTGCTCAAGCTTCCTGGGCCCAGTGGGCAGAGCAAGAAGACAGGGAAGTCAGGGAAACGGAACAGCAAAGGTCACGCACATGGGAAGACATCTTCTGTCAACTCTATCAAGACCGTCAAAAGTGAAAATGGTAACTTGAGGTATGCTGAAGATATCTCCGTCTCCCCCTCGATACTTGATATTTGAGGCTTGAAGTTGCATAGCTTGAAAATCTAACCCCTTCAAAAATGTAGTTCGCAAGGAGCACAGTCCAC